GGGCAAATGCCCATGTGGACAGGATCTTAGCTCAAGCTGCATTTAGGTACTGGCCCTTGTCTGTCCCATCTCCTTTTCCTATGCCTCTTCTCAACTCCACTCCCTTAACACTATGGACTAAAAAAAAGGAAAATACATCTGTTTTGCAGGTGTCGTCGTTGTTTAGTTGTGTCCGACTGTTCGTGACCCCATGGACCAGAGCACGCCAGACCTATCTTCCACTGCCTCCCATAGTTGTGTCAAATTCATGCTGGTTGCTTCACAGACACTGTCCAACCATCTCGTCCTCTGTCATCCCCTTCTCCTCTTCCCCTCACACTTTCCCAACATCAGGGTCTTTTCCAGGGAGTCTTCTCTTCTCATGAGACAGCCAAAAGTACTGGAGCCTCAGCTTCAGGATCTGTCCTTCCAGTGAGCAGGCAACCTATCACAAACACAGTTTCTTGCTGCAACACGTCTCACAAGTTGCAATTAAATGGCAGCTCCAAAGGTGGTCAGGCCCAGACAGCTGGAACAATTATTTTTAAAGGCCACTGTGTGTACCTCATGGTGCGGTGTGTCACAGTGGGATTAAGAGATGTACAGTACTTTCTACTGACTTTTCAAATTAAACCATTAAAGGCAGTGACAACATTCCAAAGCTTGGTTTATTGCGACAGGCTTGGAAACAGGGTTAATATTCAATCCCAGGAATTCTGGGAATTGAAGGGCCTTGGCTTTTTTGTTTTGGGGGGAAGGCATTAAGAATTTATAACAGAGAATCTTTGAGGGAGAGTTATGATAGTTTAAACTATAAAGGATTGATAGACATTTATAGAATTAAGTAATTTAGGGGATTGTGTGATTCCTGGCATCTTCAACCAACATTATCACTGGCTCCTTTCTCTGTGATTCTGCCCAACATCTGGCCATCCTGGCTAGGAGAATCTGGGAATTATAGTCCCCCCTAAAAATATTTCTGAACTTTTTAAGGCTGGTTCCAAGTATAACACTGTTTATCCCAATTGGGGTTTAAAATCAAGGTATTTAGATCCAGTCCTCACTACTTGGAAAGAACACAGTATCTGGAGTTGTTGTTTAGTCATTAAGTCATGTCCGACTCTTCGTGACCCCATAGACCAGAGCGCGCCAGGCCCTCCTGTCTTCCAATGCCTCCCGGAGGTGGGTCAAATTCATGTAGCTTTGATGACACTGTCCAGCCATCTCATCCTCTGTCATCCCCTTCTCCTCTTGGCTTCACACTTTCCTAACATCAGGGTCTTCTCATTAGATGGCCAAAATAATGGAGCCTCAGCTTCAGGATCTGTCCTTCCAGTGAGCACTCAGGGTTGATTTCCTTCAAAATGGATAGGTTTGTTCTCCTTGCAGTCCAAGGGACTCTCAAAAGTGCCAGCACCACAATTCAAAAGCATCACTTCTTCAGTGGTCAGCTTTCTTCATGGTCCAGCTCTCACTTCCGTACATCGCTACTGGAAAAACCATAGCTTTGACTATGCAGGCCTTTGTTGGCAAGGTGATGTCTCTGTTTTTTAAGATGCTGTCTAGGTTTGTCATCGCTTTCCTCCCAAGAAGCAGGCGGCTTTTAATTTCGTGGCTGCTGTCACCATCTGCAGTGATCATGGAGCCCAAGAGAGTAAAATCTGTCACTGCCTCCGTATCTTCCCCTTCAGTTTGTCAGGAGGTGATGGGACCAGTGGCCATGATCTTAGGTTTTTTTTTATGTTGAGCATCAGAACATTTTTGCACTCTCCTCTTTCACCCTCATTAAGAGGTTCTTTAATTCCTCCTCACTTTCTGCCATCAGAGGTTGTAGATATTTCTTCTCTATATTGGGGATTGGAGATATTTCTTCCAGCAATCTTAATTCCGGTTGGGGATTCCTCCAGTCCAGCCTTAAAAGGTAAAGGTAAAGGTTCCAGCCTTTCACATGATGTATTCTGCATGTAAGTTAAATAAGCAGGGAGTCAATATACAGCCTTTTCGTACTCCTTTCCCAATTTTGAACCAATCAGTTGTTCCATATTCAGTTCTAACTGTTGCTTCCTGACCCATGTATAGATTTCTCAGGAGACAGATAAGGTGGTCAGGCACTCCCATTTCTTTAAGAAGTTGCCATAGTTTGCTGTGGTCCACACAGTGAAAGGGTTTGGCATATGAAGCAGAATTAGATATTTTTCTGAAACTCTCTGGGTTTCTCCACAATCCAGCGCATGTTAACTGGAGTACAGAAACACAAATCAGAGTCTGGTGGTTTCCCTCAGTGAGTTGCCCAGACTGAGGCAGTATAACAATACAGAGTAGATATGAGGCCTTTAGCCGGCTTTGGCATGAAGTTGGCTTCTTTTCCAGAAGTACAGTATCTGCTGTTTATACTGTTATATCCTCCCTGGCTTCCTGATGGTCCAGAATAGCTATTGTCCATGAACTCCACATTCTTCTCTTATCTCCGCTGTCTTCCAAGATGTCTTCCGCTGTCTTCCAAGTGGTCAGGGACAATATCAAGTTCAGCAGAAACCTTGGCACTACACCCAATGGGCCTTCTCCATCATGTGGCTCCCCTCCTACTTTTGAGAGTGGCAATTATAGGCCAGTATGTTACTAATTTTTTTTTACATTTTGTGAATTTGTCTGATCACTGTGGAAGTCTGAGTTTGACTATGTGCAGCTTGGTTGTCCTTATGTCCTTCATAAGTGAGATGAAGAGAATTCATTCATTCATTCATTCATTCATTCATTCATTCATTCATTCATTCATTCATTCATTCATTCATTCATTCATTCCTTTATCTTCATAAGCCTCGTGGCGCAGTGGTTAAACCGCTGTACTGCAGCTAAAACTGTGCTCACGACCTGGGGATCAAATCCCAGGTAGCCGGCTCAAGGTTGACTCAGCCTTCTATCCTTCCGAGGTCGGTAAAATGAGTACCCAACTTGCTGGGGGAGGGGGCAATGTGTAGCCTGCATAATTAAATTGTAAACCGCCCAGAGAGTGCTTGAAGCGCTATGGGGTGGTATATAAGCAGCACGCTTTGCTTTTTACTTTATAAGCCAGCTTTTTCCCTGAAGAGGACTGAACTTGAGATAGAAAAAAACCTATGAGACTGAGCAGATTGAGAGAGATGTACTCACTAGAGTAAGTCTGCGAAGGTGCCACAGGCTCTTCATTGTAGAAGAATATACTGACTCATTCAAATACATCAAACAACAATTCCCCTCATGCATCCGGATGCAAATACTGGGATGACTGATTCAAAACCATTCAACTCAACAACAAAAATCCTGGAATCTCCTCAGAATGATTAAGAACAGCACCCTTGTGTAGACAAGCTCTGAGAAAATGTGCCCTTGGCTTGAGATCTTGGTTGTTTGAAAGAGATATCCATGAAGGCTTGGAGGAATTGTGGGAAGAGGTGTGTGCATGTGTGTGTGTGAGAGAGAGAAAGAGACAGAGAGAGCAAGAGTGTTGGAAAGAGTTAGCTAAAAGTAGGAATACAGTTTTAGATAGACGACTAAACTGATCTTGGGTGTTGTTGCTTCCCATTAGGAGTGCCTGCTTTTTGCCATCAGCTGTGCTTTTATGTGGAAAGCAAAGAACAATTTGCTAGGGTGCGATTAATCTGTGCTGTTGCCTTATCCCAAGGAAACCAAACACAAGTCAACTCCTCCTTGGTACCTGTTACCACTTGAGGACACGGTGAAGAGTTCCCAGCAGTGAAGCATAACAGCACCTGCCAAAAACTGCTCTCTATATTGTATTAGGAATATGAATGGGCCAGAGCTAATCCTTGTGTGAAGTGAATGGTCAGGAAAGAGCAAGGAAAGCTGTTCCCACAGAACAGCAAAAGAGGACTTCTAATTGCCCATCCCAATAAACAAGCCTTACCAAGACATTTTATAGGATGTAGATAATCTATAGGCCAGATTATAGTGGAGTTTATAATCTATAGTCTATAATCTATAAGAACTAAACTCTGGTATGCAGCCCAGGAAGCTGTTTCTTGGGGTCTACTCCTGAGCAAACAGGCATACTATTGATCTGTGCTATGTATGGGTACTGGGGAAATGCTCATATTGGTAAGAGTTGCTTCTGGTCCTGCCTAGTTTGCTTTGGCCCCACTTGTTGAAGAAGTACTGTACCCATGATCCTTCTCAAATTGGAATTCCTCCCTTGAATCTGAAAAAGGTATCTCCAAAATTCTCTCTCCCTTTTTGACAGTGCACACAACAGAATCCCAAACTTTAGTTGTTCCCAAAATCAAGACTGTGTCAGAACCCACAAGTTCATGGCTGAATTGTATGTGGTGAGACATCATGATCTGCATCTGCAGATTTTTTTCCCCTCTCAACCATATACTTCAAGACAGAGTCTTGATCTGGACTGCAGTACTTGGGTTGAGTGTTTTCCAACAAGCAATATTTCCCCTCATTGTTTGCCTGCAACAGCAGGAAATAAAACACTCAAAATAAAACCTCAACTCAAAGCTGATGTTTGCCTGAGAAACAGACAGATGCCTTAGAATGCCAACAGCTCATAACAACATGACTTCCAGAGAGATATCACTTCTGGTAACCATGAATTGCCTACCAGGAACAGAAAGTGAGTTTGGGTATAGGAAAAACATGGTCTCTTACCCAGTCCCTTAAATACCAGAGCTAGCCCTACCATTTGGCAAAATGGGGCAGCCGCCTCATACATCAGCTGCTAGCAGGTGGAGCTGGCAAGATGCTGGAGCCTTATAGCTGTGTGTGCCATAACCGTGGTCTGCCTTAAGTTAGCCTTCATTTCTTGGTCATGGTGGGATGATGTTGTACCATCAATAGTGCTAGTTTTCCTATGTGGAACAGGAAAGGAACGCCATTTGTTCTTTGCCTCAGGTATCAAAGAGGGCTGGCCTGGGCCTGTAAAAAGGCAGAACCCAGAGTCCTATTGAGACTACCTTTGTATGTCTTTGCAGTCAAACTGAGTTCCTCATATTTTCTTTTCTTTCTGTCTTTTTCAGGAACTGCTCTGCAATGCTTGAAATGCTCATTCACTGTTTTCAACATCCCATGTCACACTACCACCGTCACTTGCGAGGCTGAGCAAGTCTGTGCTACCATCCAGGGAAGGGCAGGTAAGGCGGCCATTTTGTTTTTCCCCATGCATTCCATGCCCACATCTACACCAGAGATGGGAAACTGGACATAATGCTGGGTTACTCTGGCAGCTGTATTCCAAAACAAGGAATAGAAAGGAAAAAGAGTGTTTTGTATCTCTGCTGTCTCATCTGAGAGAAGGTTTATTCTCCCTGTCTTGGGTTTCTGTTATTTTACTTTCCTCCAGTTTTCTTTCATTCTGTGTGCCTAGCTGTGGATCCTTTCTTCATGGGTGAAAAATTTGTGGGTAAACCAACAACTCCTAAATTAAAGTACAGAAGACCCTTAAGCTGGCCTGCTCGCAGGTCTGCTCAGGCAGCCATTGTAGAAACACCCTATACTGAAGACCACAGAGTAGGACCTCAGAGGGAGGAGGAGGAGGAAAGAAGTAGGCCTGCGAATAGCAATCTAAACTTATGATGTGATACTAGGGGAAATAGATTGCAATCCAGACCACTTGTGGAATGGTCCAGTCTGATATTTTCCCCAGTGATCAGATGGCAAATGGAGGATAGCACTCCGGCCGAACTGCTATCCATCCCCAAGCTGGATAATTTGGGGGCTTCTACTTTTTGAGCCAGACTGGAGAAATTCCACAGAAAACAGAAGGATGGCTTTAAGAGAGATCACTCCTGTTAAAGTGATGCTTTCTGGTATAATCAGGCAAGCACCTTTGCAGCTGTATGGTGGCACCCATAGTTTGTAAGAAAAGATAAGACAGTTATCTGTTTCTAGTGCCTCGTTGGCTCAGGTTAGTGGATTCAGCTTTCTATGATCCTGTGAAATGCCCCTCCAAAAATTGTCATTGATGCCTTTCAACAAACAATGGGTACAAATTAAAAAACGAATCACCAAATATGTTCCAAAAAATCGCTAATTTGTCGATTTGTATTGGTATGTATCATCCCCATGACTCTCCTCCACCATCCCTCCTAATTTGGTGAAGATTGAGTTTTCCCAAGCAAGCTGCTAAAGGACACTTTCCTGGGGGGGGGATCCAATATAGAGTGTACAACTTGGATGTCTGAAACTGAATCTTCACCAAACTTGGCAGGATTGTAGAGGAGAATCATGGGACGCTTCTCTGTGATTTTTGTTTCTCTAAGTGCTTGGGAGCCATTTTATAGGGTTTTAAAGTGAAAAAAAAAATGAATTGATAAATTGATTTGTCAGGAAAAAAATTGTAAATTAATAATTTGTGATTTGTTGACCTTGATGAATCATGAATCAAGATGAATCACCATTTTTCTGATTTTGTGCCCATCTTTACATTCAACAAATGGTGATTTCTTTTTTCCTTTCCTGCAGCTGGACATAGCCTTATCATGAAGAGGAACTGTGTGGATAAAGACAAATGTAACAAGAATGAAACTGCCTCCTATGCAGGAGTCAGCTACATCACCACGTACCAGTGCTGTGAAGGAGACTTTTGCAATTCAGCTGCCACCCTGCCTTCTGCCCACTTCTCCCTGTCCCTTGTCCTGGCTCTGTTGGGTCTCTGGTTCACTCGTTTCCTCTAATCCCTCTCCCCAGGAAGCAATCTCTATAAGTTGGCCAAACTGGGGGAGGGAAGCCCTCCCAAGATTCAACTTTACCAAATAGATCTTCCTATTGAAAGTGTATTTGTTCATCTGTCAAGGCATATGTTTATCTCCCTGTACCTGCTATCTTAAATCATATGAACCAAAACTTACTTTTGAAGAGACTAGAAATGTGTTTGGAGAAGAAAATCTTCTTTGCCTTCTTGTTGATTATTTGTGTTCCCTTACTCTGGGAGAGATGCAGACATCCGGTTTGCCATTCATTATATTCTACACGTCTCTGCTTGATGTATAGTCAAATTTTCCTTGCTATTGGAATAGATGGTATAGAGCAATGGTTTCCAGTCTTGGGCAACCCAGATGTTCTTGGACTGCAATTCCCAGAAGCCTTCACCACCAGCTGTGCTGGCCAGGATTTCTGGGAATTGCAGTCCCAGAATGCCTGGGTTACCTAACATTGGGAATCACTGGATAGATGACCAACAAGGTCACCACTGGATGAGATTGTTCCGCCTGAGTTGATTAGTCAACAACTAACTTACTATAAGTCATTTACCATACACACTACAATGAAGTCATTGGTCAGTAAAATGGTTGCCTGCATCTGTCTTCTGGCTAAGTTCTGCCTGGAGATGATGCTAGGAACCAGCGAGGTCAGATCACAGGCCATTGCAAGAGCCCACTGACTGAGGAGATGATCCGGAGTTCCTTCTAATCATATGGGATTCTGGGACATGTTGACACTGGGCTGAAGAGCAGGTCCCACAGAAGTGATTGTATCCTGGTTGGAGCCCGTAAGAAATCAGAAGTTATAAACACAGCTTTATCCTTCATCCTTCTTTTCCATCTTTCCTACATGTATCTGGACTATCATGTTATGTCCATTTGATTGCCGGGATTCCTTTCTAAGGAATTCTGGGATTTGTAGTTTGGCAAGGCATTTTGTATTGTCAGCTATGGAGCTTATCTAGCACAATCCTCTGAATCATGGCCGAGAGAGGCCTAAGAATATTCCCAAACCACAAACCCCAGGATTCGTTACAATGGTGCTGTGGCAGTTCAAAACTGTATTGATTTTTTTGGTAATATCTGTAATGCCTGTTGTTGTTTTTTTCTCTTGCTTTCTCCACCCACTCCTTCCCTTTTCACTCGTTTCTGTTTACCCATTGCCACATTTTCTCTAGTTGAGGATTTTTCAGCCTGTCTGATTTTTTTAGATATTTTTTTTTTACCTCCAGGTCCCATCAGCTCCACCCAGCATGGAGAATAGTGGGTGGATCGTGGGAGATGTTGTCCAAAACAGCTGGAGAAATAAAGGTCCCCAATTCCCCTTCTGTTTTAGTTCATTTTTTAAAAAAAAGCCCTTTCAAGAACTGGACTCTGCCATTTTCTTCCACCTCCTTATCAGGGATGTTGGCCAAGTCTTTTGGTTTGACTCCCAAGTCCAGGTGTGAGTCTTCGATACCAAGTCCCAAGTCCCTATTTAAAAGAAGCTCAGTTCTTCAGAAAAGGTCAGAGTCATTACCCGTAGTTGAGTCACCAGTACGACTTAAATTGAGAGTGAGTCCTGCAGCTCAAGTCTCCACACCTGCTCCTTATCTCTTGTTTCCCCTTTCTTTGGATCATAAGCTTTTTCTGAGCGCTTCTGTTCACACCTCCCTGCTGCAGCAAAGGGAGATTATGTTCTCTCCAATCCTGCGCTTTCTTTTTAATATAGTACACCCAAGAGAGGATAACTCTTTTCAGGACTGCTTTTGTATCTGTCATGTTCTGCCTCTCCCTGATGACTCCTGATGACAGCATGTTGTCAATGAGGGAGACAGTCCCCACCACAGGGAGGACTCCCGAGCAAGCCTTGTTCTCGCAAAGCAAAGTGCACTTTTCCAGCCAATGCCCATATATAGAAACCAAGAACTGAGAAATGTAGAAAGGGAGGGCGGAAACCCTGTCTTTTGCAGAAAGTTATTCTCGCTGCCCGCATGTTGATGAATATCTGCCAGCAGCTGCACATGTTTGTCTGCCTGGGAAACAAATGCTGGGGCATATATATTTTTAAATCAGAGTGGGGAACCTTTGGCCCTGCATGCATTCTGGACATCAGCTCCCAGGAAACCCCAGCCAGCCAGCATGGATTTGAGTAAAAGACTGGGGGGAGTCATTTTTCAAACATCTGGAGAGCCAGAGGTTGTCCACCGTAGTATAAACAGTGAATACATAGCCATTCTGCATACCTTCAGGTGTGCATTTCCAGCTACTTGCACTGCAATGTTTGGAAGGAAAAGCATTGTCTTACATGCATGTGTGTGCACGCGCGCACACACACACACACACATTCAGAGCTGCATGCAGGATTCATGTGGACTCTCAAATTTTGGCAGGGACCAGCATTTCAAGCACGGTTCTCTTGCCCAGCCTGGTGCCTTCACACCTCACACATGGCTTTTCTGAAATCATATGAAGATGTGAAAGTAGAGAAACCCAAATCTTTTGAAAAGTTGGAGGGGGCTATTGTAGCAAAAAAAAAAGTCTAGAAGCACTTTTAAAGGAAAATCAAGTTAGCTTTCATGGCTTGTAGCCCAGTTGGCTAAATGAAAAAACAGGTTAAGTCTTTAAATTGTCCCAAGACTCTTTGCTTGTTTTTCCTGCCACAGACAAATTTCCACAGTCTATAGACACTTTTAAAGGAAAAATGAGTTAGCTTTCATGGCTTGTAGCTCAGTTTGCTAAATGCAAAAACAGGTTAAGTCTTTAAATTGTCCCAAGACACCTTGCTTGTTTTTCCTGCCACAGACAAATTTCCACACTCACCTTCTGGAAATCATTGAGCTACAGTTTTTAGAATCCAACAGCTACCATAGCCTGTGGCCATGTTGCCTGGGGAATTCTGGGAACTGTAGTTTTAAAAAAGCAACTTTAGATGAAATGTGGATTGATCTTCTTGCAATGATCTTTCTTTGTTGTTCTGCCTTTTACTTCTCAGGCTAGAAGCAGATGCAGGCGATAGCAAATGACTGAAAGAGATCAATTTTCAACTGGGGAAAGCCTCTGAGTGACAGAGCATGAGGTTTTCTTGGGGGGGGGATGCAGATTAGTTTGCTTTGTCTTCAGAATTTAAGCATGGGATTCCTTTAAAATTGCTTTCACAAGGAAAGACCGCTCCAATCACATCTCTGCCACATAAGTGTGCTTTCCAGCTCAAGTTGCTAACTATCTCCGTCATCTGTTTCCAACCTGGGGGGGGTCTGTTTTGTAAGTTTCCAATACGGCTTTGAAAAATACAGTGCTTCCCTCTGCCGGCATTTCTTGAGATTGGCACCATGCCTCAGCTCTTGTTTCCTGTAATTTCTGAAGCAAGTCCGAAATTACCTCTGTGCCAAATAAAGTTTGACTTAATGCTACCCCTGATGTCTGAAAGTCTTTCATTGTGCTCCTCCAACTGGGAGGCGGTAACAAGTGGGGGTAACCCAAGGCTCAATCTCGGGTCTGGTGCTCTTCAACATTTGTATTAATGGCTTGGATGAGGGAGTGTACAGAATGCTTGTCAAATTTGTGGATGACACAAAACTAGGTGGAATCGCTAATACCCTGAAAGACAGAAATAAAGTTCAAAATGATCTTGATAGGTTTGAGCACTGGGATGAATACAACAAAATGAAATTCAGCAGGAATAAGTGTAAAGCGCTGCACCTCAGAAAAAGAAACCAACTGCCCAGTTACAAGATGGGGGATACCTGGCTCAGCAACATGACAAGTGAGAAGCATCTTGGAAATGTTGTAGATCACAAGCTGAGTATGAGCCAACAGTGTGATGTGGCTACAAAAAAAAAGGGCTAATGGTCTTTTAGGCTGCATTAACAGAAGTATGCTAGTTCCTCTCTATTCAGCATTGGTTAAGCTTCACCTTGAGTATTGTGTCCTGTTCTAGACACCACACTTCAAGAAGGATGCTGACAAATTGGAACAAGTTCAGAGGAGGGGAAGGCAACAAGGATGATGAGGGGGGCAGGAAACCAAGCCCTATGATTGAAAGAACTTATCGTTTTTAGCCTTCAGAAAAGAAGACAGAGGGGTGATATGATAACACTTGCCAAATACTTGAAAGGCTGTGATACAGAGGACCAAATATTTGAAAAGCTGTGATACAGAGGAGGGGCAGGATCTGTTCTTGATCTTCCCCGAGTGCAGGACACGCAACAATGGGCTCAAGTGACAGGAAGTCAGACTTAATTTGAATACCAGGAGAAACTTTCTAACTGTTAGAGAAAAGGTTTGCAATCAAGAACTAGGGCAGAATAACAAGGACCATGTCCCAGGGTGCCAGATTTAGAGGCTGCACCCTGTGCTTCAGACTGCCTAGCCTGGTGGCCTGGTCTACCATCATAGGAAAAGAATTGATAAACCATCACAGGGTAAGTCTACTTGGGCTCAGTACACTAGGTCTCTGGCTCAGACATGGAAGAGGAGGTAGCATCCAGACAGAGGTCTCATCTAGAATCATAGAATCATCGTTGTAGGGTTGGAAGGGACCTTGGAGGTCTTCTAGTCCAACCCCCTGCCCAAGGCAGGAGACCTCATACCATCCCGGACCTCATACCTTCCTAGACAGATGGCTGTCCAATCTTTTCTTGAAAAGCTCCAGTGATGCGTCACCCACAACATCGGGAGGCAAGCTGTTCCACTGCTTAATGGTTCTCACCATCAGGAAATTCCTCCTTATTTCCAGGTTGGATTGTCCTTCCCTCAGGCGCCATAGAGAAGAAATCAATGCCCTCTTCCCTGTGGCAACCCTTCAGATATTGGAAGACTGCTATCATGTCTCCCCTCAGTCTTCTCTTTGTTAAGCTAAACATGCCATTATTTATTAGGATAATGAGTAGACAATCCCTCCCCTCTTGAAAGAAACACTATCAAGTCTCAGCAAACAAGTCCTCTGGGCTGGACAGAAACTCAGCTTATTTATGTAAATGGCATGCCAAACAATACATTAAACATACTTTTGATTTCTTTTTAGTTTTTTTTTTTTAAATAATTTATATTCCGCCCACACTACCCAAAGGTCTCTGGGCGGCTTACAACATTTAAAATACAATAAAAAGTTAAAACAATTAAAATGCAATTAAAATATAGACTCTAAAAATTGCCATCGGACCCACAGCTGATATTATTTCAATTAAAAGCCTTCTGGAACAGGAAGGTTTTGACCTGGTGCCGAAATATCATCAGTGTCGGCGCCAGACGAATCTCAGTCGGGAGGGCATTCCATAGTCTGCGGGCAGCTGCCAAAAAGGCCCTTTCTCTACAAGCTGTCCCTCTTACCTCCTTGAGGGATGGCTCTTTCAAAAGGGCCCCCTGGCTAGATTTTAACTGCTGGGTCGGTTCATATGGAAGGAGGAGGTCGTTCAGGTATCCAGGGCCCAAACCGTTTACGGCTTTATATGCCAAAACAAGCACTTTGAATTGGGCCCGGGCAGCAACTG